TCCATCTTCAGAACTTTTTCATCTTCCCCAGTTGGGGATTTGAACCCACCACCTTAGGTGTACGTGGCTGGCGCCTTAGCCGGTTGAGCTATAGGCGCCAAGCCCTTAGTATTATATTGTTGTTGTGATAAAATATACACAAAATTTACTCTTTTAACAAGTATTGTGATTAAGAATAACATTAAGTATATTCACGTGTTGTGCACCCAGCACCACCATCCATCTTCAGAACTTTTTCATCTTCCCCAGTTGAAATTCAGTACCTAATAAACACTAATTCTACAAATCTCTCTCCCCCAAGTCCCTGGCACCCAGCATTCTACTCTTTATAAATTTAATTAAGTACTCATGTGAAGGGATTGATACAGTGCTTTTTTGTTTTTTGTGATTGACTTACTTCCTTTAGCATAATGTCTTCAAGGTTTATCTGTATTGTGTGGCATGTGTCACAGTTTCCTTTCTTTTTATGACTGATTTCCATGACAGGTTTGTGCCACATTTTGTTTATTCATTCATCTGTCAATGGATGCTTGGGTTGCTTCCACCTTTTGGCTATTATGATTACATTGCTGCTCTTCTTCTTTTTCTTTTTCTTTCCTTTCTTTCTTTTTTTTTTTTGGCTTATTTTTATTTATTATTAAATCATAGCTGTGTACATTAATGCAATTATGGGGTACAATGTGCTAGTTTTATATACAATTTGAAATACTTTCATCAAACTGGTTAATGTAGCCTTCACCACATTTTCTTAGTTATTGTGTTAAGATATTTATATTTTACCCTTAGTAAATTTAACAAGTACCCCTGTAAAATGCACCGTAGGTGTGGTCCAACTAATTACCCTCCCTCCACCCATCCTCCCCCTCCCCTCCCCTCTGCTCCCCTCCCTCTCCTATTTCCCCTTCATCTTGGGCTTATTCTGCTCTTCTTTTCATTCTTTTAGGTATATGCCTAGAAGCACAGTTGCTAGATTTTACATATTCTTAATTAAATACTTTTAGCATTCTGACTTATTTTTTAGTTAGACTTGGTTGAAGTTTTATAGTAAAAGATATAACAGCATTTTTATAATGTTTTATTATTAGCAACATAATGACTTTTAAAAAATCAAAGATATCACTTTTAATAAACAAAATGTGGCACAAACAATAAAGCAATAAACCCAAAATTTGGGCATAGTGGCTCATGCCTGTAATCCTAGCACTTTGGGAGGCCATGATGGAAGGAACACTTGATGCTAGGGGTTTGAGATCAGCCTGAGAGGCATACCAAGACCCATCTCTACAAAAGAAAATGGAAAAAATTAGCTGGACATAGTGATGTGTTTCTGTTGTCCCAGCTACTTGGGAGGCAGGAGGATCACTAGGGTCTAGGAGTTTGAGGTTTCAGTGAGTTATGATAATGCCATTGTACTCTAGCCAAGCAACAGAGCAAGACCTTGTCTCAGAAAAATAAGTCAAAAATTATCCTAGGAGGCTGAGGTGGGTGGAATGCCTGAGTTCAGGAGTTTGAGACCAGACTGAGCAAGAGCAAGACTCTGTTACTGAAAAGGTAGCCAGATATTATGGTGGGCACCTGTAGTCCCAGCAACTTGGGAGGCTGAGACAAGAGACTTGCTTAAGCCCAGGAGTTTGAGGTTGCTGTGAGCTGTGATCAGCATTCTATTCACAGTGACAAAGTGAGACTCTGTCTTGAAAAAAAAATCTGCTATAAAGAAATTTTAGTTGTTTCACCTGATTTCCTTTTTTTAATTATTAAGGCCTGAGGTTAGAGAAAACAAGAGAGTAGTTAATAAAAAAAGCAGAATCATGTTTAGGAGATAGAACACATACTGTTGCAGTATATTAAAGAGGAAACACTACAGATACATATTATTCATTCAATTTATAGCTTGTGGATACATTTATATAGTTTCAACAATAGTTACTATGTAGGTAATTCCCAAACCATTACTTAAAAAATTTTTTGGCTCTCTGGTCCTCCCATTTGGCAGACAGCTGCATCTTCTCTCGCAGCCCCAGCTGCATCCCTGAGGCACCATGGTGAAAGAGAAAGTTGAAATAAATGACTTTGGCTGTATTGGGCACCTGGTCATGAGGGCTGCCTTTTAATTCTGGCAAAGTAGATATTGTTGTCATCAGTGACCTTCTTTGACCTCAACTACATGGTCTGTATGTTCCAGTATGATTCTGCCCATGGCAAATTCTATGGCACAGTCAAGGCTGAGAATTTAAGCTTGTCATCAATGGAAATCTCATAACTATCTTCCAAGAGTGAGATCCCACCAAAATCAAATGGGGAGAGGCAAACACTGACCACGTTGTGGAGTCCACTAGGGTCTTCACCTCCATGGAGAAGGCTGGGGCTTACCTACACAAGGATGCTACAGGGGTCATCATCTCTGCCCCTTCTGCTGATGCCCCCATGTTTGCTTTGGGTGTGACCCCCAAGAAGTATGAAAATATCCTCACCGTTGTCAGCAATGCTTCCTGCACCACCAACTGCTTAGCCCTCTTAGCCAAGGTCATCTATGATAACTTCAGCATTGTGGAGGGACTCATGACCATAGTTCATGCCATCGCTGCCACCCAGAAGACTTTGGGTGGCCCCTCTGGGAAGATGTGGCATGATGGCCATGGGGCTCTCCAGAACATTATCCCTGCCTTGACTGGTGCAGTCAAGGCTATGGGCAAGGTCATCCCTGAGCTGAATGGGAAGTTCACTAGCATGGCCTTCTGTGTCCCCACTGCCACCGTGTCAGTGGTGAACTTCACCTGCCATCTGGAGAAGGCTGCCAAATATGATGATATCAAGAAGGTGGTGAAGCAGTCATCAGAGGGCCCCTCAAGGGCATCCTAGGCTACACCAGGCACGAGGTCATCTCCTCTGACTTCTACAGTGATACCCATTCTTCTACCTTTGATACTGATGCTGGTATTGCCCTCAGTGACAACTTTGTCACAGTGAATTTGACTACAGCAACAGGGTGGTAGATCTTACAGCCCACATGGCCTCCAAGGAGTAAGAGCCCCTGGACCACCAGCCCCAGCCCAAGGACAAGAGGAAGAAAAAGGCCCTCAGCTGCTGGGGTGGCCCTGCCTACTCAGTCTCCCAGCTCCCTGAGAACCTTACCTCGACACAGTTTCTACATCAGACTCCTTGATGAACAGAGGGGCCTAGGGAGCCCCACCTTGTCATGTAACATCAATAAAGTTCTCTGTACTCGGCGGGAAAAAAATTTTTTTTTTTCCAAGAGTTTTATTTCTCTTAATCCTAAGTGGTCCTTAGTTTTACTATTTACAGTCTTCGGCTATCTCATACTTTATTATATTATACATTTATGCCTTTATACTGCCTTTTTTATGCTGAACTCAACTTTGTGAGTTGGCAAAGAAGGATGACTTCTTGCATGGAGTGTGATCTGGCAACCTACAGTTTAGTTCCACAGTTTTGGTGTCTTTGTTTCTATATAGCAGTGTATATTATGAGATTACTTGAAAAATTTATTACATTATGCCAGTGATTTCCAACCAGGAGTGATTTTGCATACCAAGGAACATTTGACAATGTAGAAACACTGTTTGTTTGTTTTTTTAAATAGACTTTCACTTTGTTGCCCAGGCTGGAGTACAGTGGCATCATCATAGCTCACTGCAGCCTCCAACTCTTGGGTTTAAGAGATTCTCCTGCCTCACCCTCCCGAGTAGCTGGAACTACAGGCATGTACCATGATGACTGACTCATTTTTCTATTTTTAACAGAGATGGGCTCTTGCTCTTGCTCAGGCTGGTCTTGAACTCCTAATCTCAAATGATCTTCCTAACTCAGCTCCCAGAGTGCTAGGATTGCAGGTGTGAGCCACTATGCCTAGCCAAGGAAGCATTTTTGATTGTCATGACTGGGAGGCTGCTACTGGCATGTAATGGCTAGTTAGAGGTCAGAGATGCTGCTGAACATCCTGCAATGCATGGCACAGGGCCCACAGCAGAGAAGTGTCTGGCGCAAATTGTCAGCAGTGCCATAGTTGAGAAACCCTACATCATGCACTTACAAAGATGAATTAAAAATGAAAAAAATAGAGTTCAGCAACTTTCAAGTATGTATTGTTAATAGAAATTTTTGGTTAGTTCTTCTTACATGTATTAACCTTTCTGCTAACTTTGTCTTAACCATTTCTACTCTCACATTTTTCCTTTGTCTTACTGTCTTCATTTGCTTTTTGTGTCTGTGTGTGTATGTGTGTGTGTTTGTCTGTGTGGGGGGTGGGAGGAGAGAGAGAGACTCATTCAGGCTAGAGTGCTATGGAATCAGCCTAGTTCATAGCAACCTCATACTCCTGGGCTCAAGTGATCTTCCTCCCTCAGCCTCCCAAATAGCTGGGACTGCAGATATCCACCTCAATTCCCGGTTAGTTTTTCTGTTTTTAGTAGAAGATGTCTCACTCTTGCTCAGGCTGGTCTCAAACTTCTGAGCTCAGGCGATCCTGCTGTCTTGGCCTCTCAGAGTGCTAGGATTACAGGAATGAACCACTGTGCCTGGCCTACTTTTTAAAAATTTGAGTGTTTTGTTATAACTAGTTATGTAAGCCAACTTTAATTCTTTATGTAACAAGGTCTAGGTATGTATAAATTAATAAACACATATACAGAAAGTAATTAGAATCAGGTAACCAAGGGTGTACTAAATAGGAAAGGTATTTACTATTTCCAGGGGAAATGTTTTCTTTTCCTCTTGAAGAAACAATCATTATTGTTGTGATCATTTTCTGCTAAAGTGGTTCATGGCCTTAAAAATTTGAGAACCACTACTTTGAAACTAAAGTATGGCAAAGAAAATTGTTAAAAATACCACCAGTTAAGTGAACCATGTTTTTTTGATGATTTGGCTTTATTCTTTCTCTGTATCTGACCACCAGATAATCTTTTTGTTTCTTTTCTCTGAATGTTACCAGGACACTCAATCACTCGTTGGAAGTCCTTCAACGCGTATAGCACCTCATATTATTGGAGCAGAGGATGATGATTTTGGTACTGAGCATGAACAGGTAACCACATTTTTTTCTAAAAAAAGATTGATTTTCTGAGATGTCTTATTTGTTGCAAAAATGAACATTTTCTAGAGATTAAAATAACATTTGTAGGGATTTGAAACTAAATCTTAGAGCCAAAGCCTCTTAGGTAAATAGTTTATTATTAATTTTGACCAATACAAATGACTTTGCTTTTAAAACCAGTAAGTGGGCATTGATTTATAATTAAGTGTCTCATTTCATTGCCGGTAGGAATAAAACTGAAAATGTGTTAAGAAAAATCAAATCCTCATTGTTCATTGTTGGTATAAAGGAATATGATTGGCATGATTTTTGTCCTTTTTTCTTGTAATCTTGCTACATTTTTGTATTTTGGAGCTTATAATCGATGTCTTTTGGATTTTCTACTTAGATAAAAGTGTTGTCTATAAAGAGATGCTTTTTATATCCTTAACTCCTATCTCTCTTTCATTTCTTGCTTTTGCCTTTATTGCACAGGCTAGGACTTCTAATATGAGGTTCAATCAGAGTAATGAGACATCCTTGCCTTACTTCTGATCTTCGGGAGAAAGAGTCAGTCTTTCATCATTAAGTCTGATGCTAATGACAAGCCTGGGCAACATAGCAAGACCTGTCTCTACAAAATATAAAAATATTAGCCAGGCATGTTGGCATACACCTGTAGCCCAGCTACTTGGGAGACTGAGGTGGCAGGATTGCTTGAGCCCAGTGATCTGTGATTGTGCCACTGCATCCAGCCTGGCTGACAGAGCAGAACTCTGTCTCTAAAAAGAAAAAAACAAAATGGGACGTTAGCTTATAGGCATTTTTATAGATGTTCTTTATTAGGTTGAGGGTTTTGGTTAAGGAATATTCTAGTTTGCTAAGAGTTTTTATCATGACTAGATGTGAATTGTGTTGAGTGATTGAGGTGATTATGGGGTTTTTCTTATTTAGTCTCTTAATGTGGCAAATTACAATGTTGGCTGTTAGAATGTTGATGTAGACTCATATTCCAGAATGAACCCTAATTGGTCATTATATGTTATCTTTTTTTTATATAGTTGAGTTTGATTTGCTCTTATTTTGCAGAGGACTTTCACATCTGTATTTATGAAAGGTATTAGTGTGTAGTTTTTCTTATAATATCTTTGGTAATGTTGGCCTTTAGGTAGGAAGTGATCTTCTGTTTTCTGGAAAACATTGTGTAAAATTGGCATTAATTTATAGATTAACTTTCTTCTCTCATATTTCTAAATGGGAAAAATTACATGGAAATTGTGATGCTAGTTTACTTGAAGTTTTAACTATTTTTTTTTTTAGCCTTAATGTATTTAGGGATTATACAGATACTCTAGGAGTTGTCTTAAAATCATACCACTGTATTTTTCACCACCGTTTCTGCAGTTAGCCCAAAAGAAAAGGAAACACAGTTATTATTGGGCAAAAAGCCTTCCATTACATTTTTAGAAATGTTATTAGCCTGTTTTTTAATACTGATTTGTGACAGCTGAGATTCTTGATAATCATCTCCTAAATTTTCACTTTCCCACATGGTCTTTCTTCTAACTTTTTAACCTTCTAAATTGTCCTGAGGGATGATTAATTTTGAGAAGGAGAGATTTCATAGCCTGTATTGCCAGTAAATTTTAATGAGGTTTTTTTTTTTTAAGACAGAGTCTCACTTTGTCCCCCTTGGTAGAGTGCTGTGGTGTCACAGCTCACAGCACCCTCCAGCTCTTGGGCTTAAGCAATTTTCTTGCCTCAGCCTCCCAAGTAGGTCAGACTACAGGTGCCTGCCACAACACCTGGCTATTTTTAGAGACCTCTGGCTCAGGCTGGTCTTGAACCCATGAGCTCAAGCAATCCACCTGCCTCGGCCTACCAGAGTTCTAGGATTACAGACGTGAGCTACTGTGCCCAGCCTTTAATGCGTTTTTAAAATTTGCATTTTTTTAAATAGGGAAAGCGAAGTGAAATTTGGATAGCTCTGTGTAATTGAGCATTTTGTATATTGGAGTTACTGATGTATAATTATTTCTTCCTCTAGATCAATGGGCAGTGCAGCTGTTTTCAGAGCATTGAACTACTAAAATCTCGCCCGGCTCACTTGGCTGTTTTCTTACACCATGTAGTTTCACAGTTTGACCCTGCAACCTTGGTAATATATTTTGAAGTTTAGCTGTTTCAGAGTTATTCTGTTGATTCATATATCAAAGAACTTTTTATATCTACAGGATGAGTGAATAAACTTCAAGTTTTACAAACATATAAGGATAGATATGAAAGATAATTAAAATGTTACTAATATTTTTTAAAGCCTCCGTTACATGGTAATACCTACGTTACTTTTGGTGAGCAGTCTGTTGCAAACATTCCTACAGAACTAGGATCTAGAAAATATCATTTTTCATGACTTCTCACCTTGTCTTTTCCATTTGTTCTCCACTACAGCTCTGTTACCTCTATTCAGACCTGTATAAACAGACCAATTCTAAGGAAACGCGTCGCATCTTCCTGGAGTTTCATCAATTCTTCTTGGATAGATCTGCTGTAAGTTGCCAAGTTAATATTATAATCTTTGCTTAAGTACATTGAATTATTAGTCTCTGGCTTCCAATTTTTTTCCCCATGTTTTTAGATTTTTATTGTGCTTTCTGATGTCTATATCAAATTTCAATTATTAGTTACTCCTTTTTAAAATTTTTTATTTTTTATTTTTTTGAGTTTTGAGACAGAGTCTCTCTATTGCCCAGGCTAGAGTACAGTGGCATCATCATAGCTCAGTGCAACCTTGAACTCCTTACCTTAAGTGATCCTGCTGCTTTAGCCTCCCAAGTAGCTGGGAATACAGGCATATGCCACTGTACCTGGCTAATTTTTCTGTTTTTAGTAGAGACAAGATCTTGTTCTTCCTCAGAGTGGTTTCAGACTTGGATTCCAGGCATGAGCTGCTTTAGCTGGCTTAGTTACTCTTAACTGTTTGTTGTTGTTGTTGTTTGTTTTGGACATTTCTAAATTAGTTTTAGCCATATGAATTCTCACACTGAATTTTAGGGGATATGTGTATGTGGGTTTTTACATGGGCATAATTAGAATGAAGGAATGAAAAGGGGAACACATATGACATATATTAGAACCCAACAGATAGTAATTGAGGTCTAGGTGGGTCATCTCTCTGAAGTGTGGGGGCACAAGTTTAACTAAAAAGTGGTAGCAAAGATCTCATTCAGGTCTTAGTGATAATAGTGTTTTATTTTACCAGTAGAAGTGTTAAGGTTTTTGAGCTAGTGAACTTTATTAGTCTTGTTATGGGTAGACAGCAGCTAGCCCTTAACACATCCTATAGAATCATGCTGCACATCCTTAGCCCTTTCAGATTTGCAGTTCATAGGTTCTACCTTCTAAAACCTCTCTCACTTCCTTTCCTACCCTTTTCTCAACTGATAACTTTGACCTTGCTGTTTCTGAGTAATTTGAAGTATACAGAAGAGAACTTCTACTGATACATATATAACCTACCTTCCTCATGCCCTGTGCTTTACCCTTTCTTCCAATGCTGTGGACAGATTGTCTTTTATCAGAGGCCAGGTATGCCTTTGTTACCTAGGGTGTATTTCCTTGTATTTACTCAAAGACCTTAACTCTAGCAATTATCCCTGCTTTTTCTTGCAGAGCCAGGTTTTTCTCTTGTTTTCTACTGAGCCTCTCACATTAGCATGCAAACATTGTTATTTTCCCTATCTTAAAACAAACAAACATTTTGACTTTACTTCTCCCTCCAGCTTCTGTCCCATATCCTTTGTATTCTTTTACAAAGTGGCCAACATGCTTTGACAGTGAGGCCTTCCCTGACCAATCTACTTAAAAATCTTACCCCCTGTACTTCTGTCACTTCTTATGTTATTATGTTATTTTTGTCAATGGAACTTAGGTTTTATTAATTTATTTGTTCGTTTATACAGTTGGTCCTCTGTATCTATGGGTTCTACTAACCATGGATCGAAATATTCAAGGAGAAGAAAAATTTAAAAATGCAGAAAAACCCCCAATACAGTATCACAGCTATTTACGTAGTATTTACATTGCATTACATAAATGAGATAAAGTATACAGGAGGATATGCATAGGTTATATGCAAATACTAAGCCATTTTATTTTATATTATTTACTTTTGAGATAAAAGTCTCAAGCTGTTGCCCTGGGTAGAGTACTGTGGCATCACACCTCACAGCAACCTCAAAACTCTTGGGCTTAACTGACTCTTTTGCCTCAACCTCCCAAGTAGCTGGGACTAGAGGTGCCCACCATGATGCCTGGCTATTTTTGTTGTTGTTGCAGTTGTCATTGTTTTAGCTGGCCTGGGCTGGTTTTGAACCCATCAGCTCCATGTATGTGGCTGGTGCCCTACCCATTGAGTATAGGCACCGCCCACTAAGCCGTTTTATATGAGGGAATTGAGCATGTACTGACTTTGTACCCTGTGGATACCAAGGGATGACTGTATTTCTACTTTCCTACTCCCAATACAAAATCCAATAGGACAGATATTTTTGTTTTGTTTGTTCACTGCTGTGTCTCCAATATGGAACAGTTCTTCGCACGTAGTGGTCACTCAAATATTTGTTAAATGAATTAGAGTTCTGATTACTCTGTCATTACTTAAAATATTATACTTTATTTTTATTAAAATAATTTCATGAAGAAATGACAATATATTTAAGTATGTTTGAATTTTATATTTCTTAAGGGAGCTCCGAACTAAGTCAGATTTGCTGCTTAGGCTTCTATATATTAACGTTAAAGTATAAGAATCATGATGGATTGATTAATTAATTATATAATTGATTAAAAAAATATATTTTTATGCTACAGATCATATTTCATATAAATATCTATATGTACAAATGAGCTTTTATATACTTTTTTGCACTTTGGCTAGAAATGTTTTTAAGAAAATTGATTTGAGCTACTGCTTGGCAACTTCAGTTAAAGCTTTGAAATCCTTTTTGCTGTTTAGCAGTGACTCACGTTCAAATTTAAAATTTTAGATCTTATAGAAGTCCTTAAATTTTGAAATTATATGACTTAAATAGGTATACAATACAGACTAAGCATGAAGTGGTTCAGATATGTTCTCTAAATGCAAAATAATAAAATGTTTTCCCCAAATTGATTGGGGAGAAGTCGCAATCTGGTAATTATTAAATACTTATTCTTGAGAAAATCTAGCTAGGAAGAAATAAATTCTGAGACAATCATTGGTTAGTTCAGTGGTGAAAAATAGAGATGTTACTAGATTTAAGACTCCAAAACTCAACATTGACATCTAATACGTTTATCATGGGGAGTGTGACTGTTGTGAGGAACTTTAAAAACTTTATGTAATATATGACTGGGAATATCATGGTCTGTATCTTAAATACAAGGAGTAAAAATCATGGTTTTATGTGAGTATCCCAAATCTAGGAAATAAAAGTTATGTTGTGGTTATTCGTCTGAACGGTTATATGCATATAGTTTAGATTTTTACTGACTTAAATGATTCATAAGTGATTATGTTAACCAAAGGTTCTAGAAAGCCAAAATCAATAAGTGTGACATAGAAGCATTCAGTAATCTGGTGAAATGACAGTAGATATTTCCTTTTTAGCATGATCCTTGAGAAAAGGGCTGATTTTTAAGTTTAAGTAATAGAACATTCCAGAGCGATGGAATTTGAGTAAATTGAGGTTGTAGGTAAATATGCTTGTAAGAATAGGGATCCAAATTATATCCTTTTACTTTATTTATATATATATCTTTAAATGCCTTTGGAGCTGTTTCAACTTTTGTTTGCATTTTGTTTTAGCACCTGAAAGTTTCTGTTCCTGAGGAAATATCTGTGGATCTAGGTAAGTTTGAAGCACCAATATCCTGGACAATTATATCTCTATAGATGTATGGCCCAGGTCATTTCTAAAGGTTTTATATGTCACCTGGCGACTAGTTGATCACCTTAATTGCAGCAGGAGAATCTGTAGTACGTTTATGAATAAATGAAATCTGAAGTCTAAGATGAAATACATGAAATGTATTAAAGTACTTCTCTTTGGCATACTCTAACTTAAATTTGTGCCAAATAGCACTGGTTTGTTGCCAATTATATATTCCACAGAACATACTTTTACATCAGACAATTCCTTTACTTTTCTTTATATAGAGAAAAGACGACCTGAACTTATTCCTGAGGATCTACATCGTCACTATATCCAAACTATGCAAGAAAGAGTTCACCCAGAAGTTCAGAGGCACTTGGAAGATTTTCGGTGAGCTTAGTGGTAGATAAAACCTGATACAGTCATCCTGAACTAATTTTTTTTAGATAGGAAAAAGTTACACATTAAGTACTTTGTTTAGCACTAGATAATCCATATGGTTATGAAAACATAATGAACATCTAGAATCAAAGGGTTAGAGTGAAACTGAGAGTCCATAGTCTCCATTCTATATCATATTTTCAGGATCTGAGCTCAGTACTGTGTCTGTACTAAATGTATTCCTTGTTTGTATTTTTTGAGTGATTGCTTCTAGAATTGTTTCCTCTGGTGTCCCAGGTGACATGAACCTGTATGAAGAAAACTGTGACATTTTGCCTGTTCCTAGAAACTTACAGCAGTGGAGACTTGGATGAAACATCTCCAGAAGGAGGTAATTTTCTTTATTTCTTTGTAAATTCAGGAAATTTCTTCTATTCATTCCCATTAGGCAGAAACGCAGTATGGGACTGACCTTGGCTGAAAGCGAACTGATTAAACTTGATGCAGAGCGAGACAAGGACCGGGTAGCTTTGGAGAAGGAGCGGGCATGTGCAGAACAGATTGTTGCCAAAATTGAAGAAGTATTGTAAGTAGTGAGAGTATATATGCAAATGCATTCTCTATTGATGTGCTAATTATGCTTGAAGTACCCTGTTTGTTTGTTTGTTTTTGAGACAGAGTCTCACTATATTGCCTTCTGTAGACTGTTATGGCGTTTCAGCTCACAGCAACCTCAAACTCTTGGGCTTAAGGAGTTCTCTTGCCTCACCCTCCCAAGTAACTGGGACTATAGGTATCCGTTGCAACGCCTGGCTATTTTTTTTTTATAGTAGTTGTCATTGTTTAGCAGGCCCTAGCTAGGTTTGAACCCACCAGCCCCGGTGGATGTGGCAGTGCCCTAACCACGGAGCTACAGGCGTAGAGCCTGAAGTACTCTTTGCACAAATTTAGAAGGGCTGTTGGATTGGGTTCTGTGGAACTATTCATTTTCTCATAGTGCATGAGAAACTGGAATTTTTTTTTCTTTTTTCTGATACTCTATTTTAGTTAAAGTTCTTATTTTATCTTTCTGGATATTGTTAAATAGTTACTATAACATTTCTAATCAGTGATCAAAAACAGTTTGAATACTTTCATTAGTTTCAGTTCACAGCCCTTGGAAATATTTCTTGCTCTAAAATATGTACCATTGATGACATGAGGGTGAAAAGAGGATTAGGGTTCTTTTGATGTATTATTTTAGGTGACAGATACTTAGAGCAGGGCCCAAGGTGCTTGGCTCTGTTCTGTTATTTCAGGTGTCTTAAGTTTAATAGCCACTCTTTTATTAAACTTTACATATTTCCTTTTTAACTTTTTATTCTTTAGGATGACTGCTCAGGCTGTAGAGGAAGATAAAAGGTAACACAACTGTTTTTCTCCTAGAATTTTAAGAGAAAGTTTTCTTCTTTTATCCCTAAGTTTAATGTCTTTCTTTTAACTTGTAAAATATAGATAGTGGTCTCCCTCTGGTGGCCTCTATTTTATTTGAGTAGTATTCTAGCGTCATCTTTAGTAGAATCCTTTTCTATGTGAAATGAATAGATCTTTATTTTTTACTTAATTTCAAGAATTTTAGCATCTTGGAAATCATTTGCTGTCTTTATTCCACCAATCCTTCTTCTCAGAAGTCTTATTTTACTTAGCCCTTTCTCCTCCAGTTCCACAATGCAGTATGTTATTCTCATGTACATGAAACATTTGGGAGTAAAAGTGAAAGAACCTCGAAATTTGGAGCACAAGCGAGGTCGGATTGGATTCCTTCCAAAAATCAAGGTAAGATTAAAATAATAATAAAGTGGTCAGGCTTTATGCTTCTTTACATTTGACTGGTATTTTCCATCTTCTTAATGTTTACTTAATCAGCAAATTAGTGCTCGGTATACTAACATGTATAAGATCTGGTTTCTGTTCTTAAGAAATTCTAAATCTAGTGAGAAATCTAGACATAAAAGTTATTATTAGTTCAAGAAGAAAAATTAGCAGTTTACACAGAGTATTGTCCCCAGATCTGTTAGTACCTTATATTCTCCTTTTATGGTGCTTGTTACTTTGTAATTGTTTTGTGTTTTTGTTTAATGTTTGTTCGATTGTGAAGCTCTATGAGGGCAAGGACCTCCATTATTATTGTATTCCCAGCCTTTACCATAGTGCTTTCACACATTATGAGCATAATAAATATTTGTTGAGTAGATGAATGAATTGTTTAGACTAAGCTCCTGTAAATGTGTTATAAAACTACCCTTTTACTCCTGTAAATTGTCACTTCCAAAGGGTCTGAAAAGACATACTGAATTTGAAGTGTCCACACTACTGTGTGCCAGTCTCTAATGAGTGGTGTGTATGTGTGCTTTTATTTACATTTAATCAGTTTCTTTCCTTTAACAATTAGAATCTCACTTCTGTGTTTGAAGACAGCAAAAGAGATTTACTACGTTATGTATCTTTTCTCTCTTTGTACCTTAAATCTAGCAAAGTATGAAAAAAGATAGAGAGGGTGAAGAAAAAGGGAAGCGAAGAGGATTCCCCAGCATCCTGGGTCCCCCGCGGAGACCAAGCCGTCAGGACAACAGTGCAAGTATGTTAAGTCTGAAATGTTGCGTTTCCACCATTCGATGTCCTCTTTATATCACAGGCTTATTTTACTAGAGTGAATTGCTGGAGAAAGGTGTTTTGGGGATGATTTCATTGAATTTCCAATGTGCCTTGTTTCCATTCAATATTACTTCTGAACTAAGTACCTCTCATATTTCTATATAATTGTGATAAACATATTTAATTGCAATAGAATATTCTATCAGGTATCTATAATGTAGTTTATTTACCTATTCTGATTTTGTTTGCATTTAAATCATGTTTGTGAAATTAAAAAAAAAAAGTATGCATAGATCTCTCTACCACACTTTGTTTAATCTCTCTGTACATACATTGCTCTCTGCATACTTGTACAATTTCTCTACCCTCTTCATTGTGCTTCATATCCTGATTTCCCTCTTCTCCACCCATCCCTTTTCCTCCCCTGGCCTAATGGAAAGAGATGAGCCCATTACAGAGGGCTGCAGGAGAAATAGAGACAGTGGCCCTGTGGGGAGGGTAGCCAAGTCAAAGGGCATTCTCATCTTGGGCAATACCTCATGTGAAAATATTGGCCTGGTGCAGTTAGGATAACTATTGTTATCATGCAGTGTTACACACAGAGTTGTGATACAGTGATGCTGAATGTCCCACACAAGGAGGAATTCTTACTCAAATGCCAGTACATTCAGAAGGTGAAAGAAGTTTTCAGAAGGGAGACTGAAGAGATTGAGAATTTCATAGATGCTGACCATGACTTCCAAGGGATAGGAAAGAAGAATGTTAGATTAGGGGTATAAAAGGCTTTATGAGGATGTACAGTGGTATGGAGGTGAAACCTGAATGAGAGTCTTTAGCTTCTTGTGATGACTAATGTGAACAAGGATAATAAACAGGATTGGGATTTGTCTGGATAGTTTCTGAGGCGTATCGTGCTAATGAAGCTGTCTTAGAGGAGAAATGAGGTGAGGACTTGCTAAGAGCTCACAAAGATAAAGGGCTTAATCTTCATCCTTGTAAATGAACGGAGCTCCATATGCATCTTTCTGTGTCTCAGCGTGCCTTCTGCCCTGTCCACCACCGCTCGCCTCATCTCTTTTTCTCATGACCCTTTGCTTTCCTCTCCCTCTTCCTTCTCACCCTTGTCTTCTACCTTCTTTCTTTCATTTCTCTTCATCCCTCTTCCGTCTCCTGTCTCCCACCCTCCTGTCTTCCCTCTAATGTTGCCTGCCTGCCAGTGTTCTTTCCTCCCTTCCATCCTCTATATGTTCATTCTTTTCTCTGTGTCAGAATTCATTTTATATAGTCCAGACATTTTTTTAGATTCTTTTATTTCTTCTAGCTATTTTGCAGTACAGTACTATTGTTTTCTGTTCAGTTGGCAGAGCCATGGAACTACAGAAGGCACGCCACCCGAAGCACTTACCTACGCCCTCATCTGTGAGTCCTGAGCCTCAGGATTCTGCTAAGTTACGCCAGAGTGGCTCAGCAAATGAAGGCGCAGACACTGGATACCTGCCTCCTAATTCCATGTCTTCTGTAGCTTCAGGGGCCACTCTTTCCCAGGAAGGAAGTAAAGAGAATGATACAGGTGAGCTAATGCTATAATTCAGCTTAACTATCAAGATTTTAAAACAAACATACTGTATGAAAAATAGAGTGGCAGATTATTTTAATCAAGACTGTCTCCCAATTTAATTTAGTTTTAACAATTCTAATATTCTACAATTCATGGGTGATGCGTGTGGCTCAATGGGTAGAGTGCTGGCCCCATATACCGAGGGTGGCAGGTTCGAACCTGGCCCCGGCAAACTGCAACAAAAATAACCAGGCACTGTGGCAGGCACCTGTAATCCCAGCTACTCAGGAGGCTGAGGCAAGAGAATCGTCTTAAGCCCAGGAGTTGGAGGTTGCTGTGAGCTATGATGCCGTAGCACTCTACCAAAGGCAATAAAATAAGACTTTGTCTCTAAAAATAAATAAATAAATAAAATTCTATAATTCAGAATAAATTTATGATGAATGATAATTTTTAGTTCTTGTTCATCTAAAAAATATTAATCTGTGTCAGGCAGTTAGTTCTGTGCCACATGTTATCGTGCAGTAGTTATACACAGATGCTTGCCTCATGGAGCTCAGTTTCATGGGGGAGATAGTCACACATATTAAAAATTCAAATTGTCCTAGTCCTATAAAGGAAAGGTAAAGGGAGTATTGAGGGCACTGGTTAATAGTTAAAGACAGGTATATGTGGGAGTGGGGGTGAGGGAGGATCTAAAGAAGACCTTAAAAAAATAACAGTGGGGCCGGGTATTTGGCTCACACCTGTAATTGTAGCCCTCTGGGAGGCCAAGGTGGGTGGATTGCTTGAGCTCCTGAATGAGACCTCGTTTCAAAAAATAGCCTGGTGTTGTGGTGGGAAGGTGCCTATAGTCTTAGCTACTAGGGAGGCTGATACAAGAGAATCATTTGAGCCCAAGAATTTGAGGTTGCCGTGAGCTGTGATGCCATGGAACTCTACCGAGAGTCACAAAGTAAGACTCTGTCTCAAAAAAAAAATGAGATGGTATTTTTTTTTTTTTTTATATTAGTTGGAAGCCAGCTGAGTGAAGAGGTTGACTGTGTGGGAGAAAGACTGTGCAAGTAAGAGAATAAAGTTTTAAGGAGAGAGAAGATGAGACACAGTGCATATGTAAAGGAGGTTTTAGTGAGATGAGCACGGGAAATTGAAGAGAAAGGAAGGGATGCAGTAATTGTGTAGCTAGTTGAGGAAGGGGCATGTTGCTGTGCTTCCTACTTGTTATAGTGGGTTTCTTAAGCAAGTGAGCTTGGAGAGTTTTATTTGGAGAAAGAACCGCCTATTTCTTAGTGATTCTGGAGCTGATTCAGTTCCTGGTGATGACATCATCAAGGTTGAAACTGTGGTCACCGACCTGACATACGGGGGCCGGGGGGGTTCACTAGGATGAAGAAGGCATGGAAACAGAAGTTTGAATAGCTTAACATACATAGGTTTTGAGGTCACCTCATATGCTTTTAGCAGGAAGAGGAAAACAGAGCCAACAGCCAAAGGTTTAGGGATGCTGATGATTGTTGTGAGGAAGAAGAACATGTGGTCATGCCCAGAAAGGGGGTGTCTCAACAGAGCAAATGATTTTACAAGAAGAAGGCAGCAAGATAGTGGTACAGAGGTCATATTGGGGATCAGGAAGCCTGTCCATCTCCTCTCTACCCTGAAGGACATAGTGTGTGACAGAAACACCAGTTTCTGTTTGGGGGGGGCAATAGCAGAAGAGATAGGCAAAGAAGCAGGGGTGACGGTCGAAGAAATGCGTGGGGATTGTGCCATATATGGAATTCTGAAGATGTTAGATTGAATATATATGCATTTGTATTTCATGCTCTCATGACTCACAGAAATAAAAACATAGTAGATAAGGAATAAACAAAAACCATGTAGAGGAAAGAAGCAGAGGAAGGGAATATGTTATCAGCAAATAAGAGATTTCAACAAGCATGGGAGATTGAAGGTGAACAAGAGTGATTTGATGGGTAAAACATAAAGGAAGCCAGAACCCATAATTTGTTTAAGGAGTCCAAGGTAGGAGTCCAGTGTGCCCATTGGATCCCTGGAGAGACTTGGCTCAGAGTTGGCATGTGTTATGGAATACATAAATAAGAATACATGTAGAGCTGAAAATGATGAATTAACTGAATGTTTATAATTAAAGCAGCCGTGTCAGCAGCTTTCGATCTGTATAGTGTAAAATATAAGCAGTCCCTGTTATTTGTGGAATAGAAGAAAACCAGTGTGTTCTTTTGAGAAACTGAATGAATTGTGTAGGAAGGGTTGTCCTCACAGTATTCATGCAGTGGCGCCTAGAGCCTGACCATAGGCACGCCAGCCACTTCCCTACTCAGAGATCTCTCATCTGAAATGAACCACTTCCCATATAGCAGCAAAAGAAAGCCAAACCAGCTACCCAGTCTTTCATTCTTAAATATGCACATGGCTCACTTTTGGCAAAATTTGGTTGTTGGAGTCAAGACGTGAGATAATACATAATGCCAAGGTAACAGACAGTGAAAGAAAAGAATATAAACACAAAAACTGCCCCTAGAAGAAGAAGGTAATTTGGTAACAGATAAGAGCTTAAGAAAATAACTCTAAATTAGATAGTATACTTGAGAATGTTAAAGAAGTTATTGCATCCATAAAGCAAGAATAGGGAACCTCAAAGACAAAACATTTTTTAAATATAACTATTAAATACAGTGTAACATTGATTATGTTAGTTATCAATTGATTAGGCGATTTTCTTGCCTAATAATAATATAACTATTAAATATTATTGGGACTAAATATTATTCCCAATTATATGAATATTATTGTTTACTATAACTATTAAATATTATTGTTAAATATTGGGAAGAAATAGGGGGATGTGTGATGAATTACCCCAAAACTTAATGGCTTAACACACAAAAACATTTATTATCTCACCTTTTTGTTGGGTGAAGAACTCAAAAGCAGCTTAGCCCAGTGGTTCTTGGTTAGGGTTTCTCATAACATTGGATTTAAGTTATCAGCCAGTCATCAGAAAGCTTAACTGGGGCTAGAGAATTTACTTCTGTGCCCACTCAAGTGGCTGTTGGCAGGAGGCCTCAGCTCCTTACTGGTGGGCTCAGTTCCTTACCATGTGGGCTTTTCTGTAGAGCTACATAGAGTATTCTATGACATGGTGACTGGCTTTTCCCAGAGAAATGCAAAGAAAAGACCAAGAAAGAAGCCCTTATGTCTTTTATGACTTAGTGTCTGTAGGTACTTACTGTCACTTCTGCAAGTTAGAAGGTGGTCACTAAATCTAGCCTACACTTGGGGGAGGAATTAGGCTCCATCCCTCAGGGAGGCTCCATATTTTCACAACTACTACTGCCAATATTTAAATAAAAGAACTACTGCAACTGCCAATATTTATATAAAAGAAATCCATAAAAATATATAGAGAACCTCTATAAAGGCCCAATATCTATCTCTTTTCACAAAATGTCAACAGAGGACAAAGAGAAGAGATAGTTTAAGAACAACAAGAGAACGTTTCCCAGTGTTAAAAAGGATATACTTCAGGTAGAAAGGGCTTGCTCAGAACCAACTATAACGGACGATTTTAAAACCATACTTAAGATATCCTTGGAAATTTTATTGTACCAGGGATGAGAGATGATGTGACACGGCACGTTGCTTTTTATAAACACGGAGTACTAAAATATAAAAGAGCAGTGCCAACAACTTTGAAAGTGGTTTTGAACTTCAAATTCTATATCTATCCAAGCTGTTCATCAAATGTGAAGAGAGAATAAAGACATTTTCAGAGTTACAACATTCCAGTTTAACTGAAATGTACTTTTTCTTTAAAATTATTTGAGGACACAATAGTCCAGCAACATTGGAAAAAAATTAAGAAGGAAAAAGTCATGGGATCCAGGAAAGGGCAGTTCTAAGACAATGGTATATCACAGGCCGAGATTGGGACACTGGAACATCAGAATAGGAAAAAAGAGAATCTTAAGCAATGAATGATAAGAAAAAATTTGAGACATGATAAAATTGTATTATTTTGACAGCAGTAAAAGAAAGGCATTTGGAAATGTTAAGAAAAACAGAATTGTTCAAGAAAGTAAGTCAAGATTTTGACATGAAAAATAAAAAGAGGGATGAGCTTAAACCAAGTGATGGTATATGAAACTTTAATGTAATAAACATTCTATTTCAAGTGGCCCAGGGATTGCATTATTGAACCAGTAGAAAAGAAAATATAATCCTAACTAGCATACCTCTTAAGTTGACAGAAATAATACATATATATGTATGTTGTATATGACAATATGCATAGTATCATAATAATATACTAAGTACCTTTTTATTAGTTTCTGGAATCATCCTACTAGGCAAAGCACAGAGTATTTCATTGTGGCTGCAGATCAGAAAATATATATAAAAAATTCTCTTAATGATGCAAGTAAAGATGTAAATGAAAGAAATGAGAGGGGGATGTACACACTAACTACCTAATCTGACAGAGAAGAGAGATGAGATACTAATTCCTTGATGGGACAGAAATATAGAGATATCATTTAAATTTAGGTAACAACTTAACCTCCCTATTATTAATCATAATATAACTGTTGAATATTGGGAAGAAATAGGGGTAAAGTTAAGAGGGGAAGTATAATGAGTGTTTCCTCAGAGGACTAAGAAGTAGATGTGAGCTGAAGATAATGAAAAGTAGTGAGAGGTCGTTACTTGGACTTGGATGACCATAATAACTAAAATTTGAAAACATGAAGAAGGATTGATACTGGAGACAGAAAAAGATACAATAGGAGAATAGAGTTCCTCATTTTGTGCTCTTCTGAATTATTTGAATTGTTGCCACATCTTATGTTGAGTTTTCTGTTTTGTTTTGTTTTGTTTTGTTTTTTGCAGTTTTTGGCTGGGGCTGGGTTTGAACCCGCCACCTCCGGCATATGGGACTGGTGCCCTACTGCTTTGAGCCACAGGCGCTGCATTTTAAAAATAGCGTCTTGTGTTCAGTTTTAAGAAGCTATTTTTAAAATGAT